TGGCACCGGGAGTAGGCGGCCACATGCGAACCCTACCCCTACCCACCACGATTTCTGAGGGGGAGGGTGGGGTTCACTTCGCTCGGGAGCTCCCGAACGAAGTGAACCCCACACCTCCGCGCTCCTCTTCGCCGTGGCGTCGCAGCGTTGTCTGGCATGACCCTGCCCCTAACCATTTTTGCCGAAAATTATTGTTGCGGGCGGTGGTGGTGTATACAAATTGGCCTCGCACTCCCCCTCAGAAATCGTGGAGGGTAGGGGTAGGGTTCGCATGTGGTCTCCCCTACTTATCGATTCGATTCTGGGCTCTCCTGGGAGGTGGCACCGGGAGGCTTTCCTGGGGAGCTCCGGAGGCCCATGGAGGCCCCGGGGGGCCTCCAGGCGTATACTCCTGGAGGCCCATCGTGCTCCCCGAGCCGGCAGCAGGAGCGGGCACTCGAGCCTCGAGCCCCGAGGAGCCAGCCCTGGCCTCGAGCCTCGAGCCTCGAGCCTCGAGCCTCGAGCCTCGAGCCCTCGATCCCTCGAGCCCTCGAGCCTCGAGCGCCTCGCGCGCCTCGCGCGCCTCGAGCGCCTCGCGCGCCTCGCGCGCTTCGCGCGCCTCGCGCGCCTCCAGCGCCTCGCGCGCCTCGCCAGGAGCCGGCCCTGGCGAGCCCCCGCCGCCGCCGTGGCCGTGGCCGCGGCCCTGCTCCTCGGCGGCGCCGCGCTGCGCGGCGGCGGCCTGCGCGGCGCCGGCGGCAGCGACGCCGCGGCGGCGGGCGGCGAGGCGCGGAGGGTTTTCGCCCGTTTTTTTTGTTGGTTTGTTACTTTTTTGTTTTTGTTCTTTTTTTTTTTTTGTGTGTGTGTGTGTGTGATTTTTGTTTTTGTTTTTGGTTTTTTGTTTGGTCCCCAACCCTCCTTGGTCGGGTATTCGTGTGGAGTGGAGCACCGCGGTGGCGTCTCCCTCCCGCCTCCTCCCGCCTCCTCCCGCCGCCTCCCGCCTCCTCCCGCCTCTATCTTCCCCTTTCGCCTCGTGCGCATCTCTTGGGTATGCATGTCATCTGCGGCACCCGCCTCCGATCTCGCCGACTCTGGGCGGCTGCGATCTGCGAAACTGTCGCCACTTTCGAGGGCTGCTGGTGGGTCCAGCGGAGTGAGGCACCGCGCAGATCTGAGCGGTAGCTTGCCGTCCCTGGGGGGCTGCGATCTGCGAAACTGTCGCAACTTTAGAGCGCTGCTGGTGGGTCCAGCGGAGTGAGGCACCGCGCAGATCTGAGCGGTAGCTTGCCGTCCCTGGGGGGCTGCGATCTGCGAAACCGTCGCCACTTTCGAGGGCCGCTGGTCGCAGGCTGCTGGTGGGTCCAGCGGGGTGAGGCACTGCGCAGCCCTGAGCGGGGCCTCGCCGTCCTTGAGGGGCCATGGCATGTTGCTTCTGCCCCGCCGACGTTTCAAGCCCCTTGCCCGCCGTCTCCTTTTGGACCTTGCGTCTTCCTCAGTGACTTAGGGGTTCACTTAGTTACTCATCGTGTTTCCCTTGATTGGGGACCTGCGAACCTTCCGAATGCCGCTCGCAGAAGTATATGCGTCCATGTCAC